GTTCTCCCTGCAGCAGCCCAGTTAGTGCCTCAGATGAGGAGGTTCTCCCTGCAGCAGCCCAGTTAGTGCCTCAGATGAGGAGGTTCTCCCTGCAGCAGCCCAGTTAGTGCCTTGAGATGAGGAGGTTCTCCCTGCAGCAGCCCAGTTAGTCCCTTCAGATGAGGAGGTTCTCCCTGCAGCAGCCCAGTTAGTGCCTCAGATGAGGAGGTTCTCCCTGCAGCAGCCCAGTTAGTGCCTTCAGATGAAGAGGTTCTCCCTGCAGCAGCCCAGTTAGTGGCTCAGATGAGGAGGTTCTCCCTGCAGCAGCCCAGTTAGTGCCTTCAGATGATGAGGTTCTCCCTGCAGCAGCCCAGTTAGTCCCTTCAGATGAGGAGGTTCTCCCTGCAGCAGCCCAGTTAGTGCCTCAGATGAGGAGGTTCTCCCTGCAGCAGCCCAGTTAGTGCTTTCAGATGAGGAGGTTCTCCCTGCAGCAGCCCAGTTAGTGCCTTCAGATGAGGAGGTTCTCCCTGCAGCAGCCCAGTTAGTGCCTCAGATGAGGAGGTCTCCCTGCACAGCGCCCAGTTAGTGCCTTCAGATGAGGAGGTTCTCCCTGCAGCAGCCCAGTTAGTGCCTCAGATGAGGTTCTCCCTGCAGCAGCCCAGTTAGTGCCTCAGATGAGGTTCTCCCTGCAGCAGCCCAGTTAGTCCCTTCAGATGAGGAGGTTCTCCCTGCACCAGCCCAGTTAGTGCCTCAGATGAGGAGGTTCTCCCTGCAGCAGCCCAGTTAGTGCCTTCAGATGAGGATGTTCTCCCTGCAGCAGCCCAGTTAGTGCCTCAGATGAGGAGGTTCTCCCTGCAGCAGCCCAGTTAGTGCCTCAGATGAGGAGGTTCTCCCTGCAGCAGCCAAGTTAGTGCCTCAGATGAGGAGGTTCTCCCTGCAGCAGCCCAGTTAGTGCCTCAGATGAGGAGGTTCTCCCTGCAGCAGCCAGTTTAGTGCCTCAGATGAGGAGGTTCTTTCCTGCAGCAGCCCAGTTAGTGCCTCAGATGAGGAGGTTCTCCCTGCAGCAGCCCAGTTGTGCCTCAGATGAGAGGTTCTCCCCCGCAGCAGCCCAGTTAGTGCCTTCAGATGAGGAGAGTTTCTCATTGCAGCAGCCCAGTTAGTGCCTTCAGATGAGGAGGTTCTCCCTGCAGCAGCCCAGTTAGTGCCTAGATGAGGAGGTTTCCCCTGCAGCAGCCAGGTTAGTGCCTCAGATGAGGAGGTTCTCCCTGCAGCAGCCCAGTTAGTGCCTCAGATGAGGAGGTTCTCCCTGCAGCAGCCCAGTTAGTCCCTTCAGATGAGGAGGTTCTCCCTGCAGCACCCAGTTAGTGCCTCAGATGAGGAGGTTCTCACCTGCAGCAGCCCAGTTAGTGCCTCAGATGAGGAGTTCTCCCTGCAGCAGCCCAGTGTGCCTCAGATGAGGAGGTTCTCCCTGCAGCAGCCCAGTTAGTGCCTCAGATGAGGAGGTTCTCCGTGCAGCAGCCAAGTTAGTGCCTCAGATGAGGAGGTTCTCCCTGCAGCAGCCCAGTTAGTGCCTGAAATGAGGAGGTTCTCCCTGCAGCAGCCCAGTTGGTGCCTTCAGATGAGGAGGTTCTCCCTGCAGCAGCCCAGTTAGTGCCTTCAGATGAGGAGGTTCTCCCTGCAGCAGCCAAGTTAGTGCCTCAGATGAGGAGGTTCTCCCTGCAGCAGCCCAGTTAGTGCCTCAGATGAGGAGGTTCTCCGTGCAGCAGCCAAGTTAGTGCCTCAGATGAGGAGGTTCTCCCTGCAGCAGCCCAGTTAGTGCCTTCAGATGAGGAGGTTCTCCCTGCAGCAGCCCAGTTAGTGCCTGAAATGAGGAGGTTCTCCCTGCAGCAGCCCAGTTGGTGCCTTCAGAAGAGGAGGTTCTCCCTGCAGCAGCCCAGTTAGTGCCTTCAGATGAGGAGGTTCTCCCTGCAGCAGCCAAGTTAGTGCCTCAGATGAGGAGGTTCTCCCTGCAGCAGCCATGTTAGTGCCTCAGATGAGGAGGTTCTCCCT